GGACCGGCGGGGGAGGCAGGGAGGGAAGGGGCCGCCCCCGGCGCCGCGGCCTCCTCCCCCGCCAGCGCCGCTGGGCTCCCCCGGGCGCCGCCGCCCGGCCCGGCCCGGCCCTGCCGCCCGCTCCTTCGCACCTCCCCGGCCTCCCTCCTCCGGCCCTGGCCCGCTGACCGGCTCCCCTTACCCCCGCACCTCTTGCCCGCCCCGCCAGCTGCCGGCTTCCCTTCGCTGCTCGGCCCCTCTCCCGTCCTCTCGCCCCGCAGAGCCTGGTACCACTTCCCTGCAAGACTTCTGCTCTGTCCCTCCTCACCAGGCTGCCATGGCACCCCTCCTGGAGAAGCTGTCCTTGGCGTTTTTGCAAGGCTCTCCCCCCTCGCACTCTTCGCATTATTCCCCTGGTGGGTTTGTGCCTCAGAAGTGCAGGGAAACTCGCACCTGCCTTGGCCACTTTTGCTCAGTCCCGTGAGGTCCCCTGCATTGCTCTTGGTGACTCTCAATGGGTGTACAGCCTGATGCTTTCCACCAGCACACTTACATCTCCTCCGTTTCACCTCCTCCTGCCCGTAACTGGGACAAGACTCCTGCAAGGCTCTACCTGGCCTTTCCGTCCCCCATTCTCTGCTGCTGCTTCTTCCTCTCTGCCACCCCTTCCTTAGGGCTCCCTTGAGATTTCGCCGTCCCCTTCAGTTCATCCTGCACATGGTGATGATCCTGTTTCTTTCCTACTAGGCCTGTGGTTTTCCCTCCTTCCCTGACCTTTCCTTTCCCTATGGGCTCTGTCAAAAGTAAAGTACACCAGAGGTTACTTGGTCTCAAAAACAAAGGAAAATAAAGTTATTTCTGTTGGTTCTCTGCACTAAACCAGACTTTCCCTGTCCATTGGGGAGGCATGAGGGAAGTTCTGTAGCCAGAAAGCTCTTCTGCAGCCTCCCTCACGTCCCAGCAGTGGCCCACAAAATGACCCAACTGTGTAAGAGTCTTTGATGCTGAGCCTGTCAGCTCGCTGCCATCTGAAAACAGAAAGGAGCTGCCTTGGAGTTGCTGCTTGCCACGCTGCAGTCTCCTCTATCCCTCCTCCGCATTTTCAGCTGGCAGAAAGTTGGAGATGGCACAAATGTGTTTCCCCCTCCATTTGGGGTTGGAATGGATTCCCCTCCCCCTCTTGTTATCTCCCCTGTAGTTACAGCCTTTGTAATGGCTAATACACAGTTTGGTTTTACCATTGTCAGAATGGTTGGTTACATTGTACAGCAGGTCATTATTTCTTTATGATCATAACTTCTCAAAAATTACCAAGCTGTAGGTAAGTTGGGTGGCATTTCAGGGCACAGGCTGCAAGACAGATTCCAGGTTTCAGCTCTAAAGAACTGGGAGTGAAAATGGAAAGAGCATTGCTGTGTGTAAGGTGTAAATAAGAAGAGGCTGTATATGGTTATTTGACTGCTGAAATAACCCTGCGTTGACTTGTGCTGTCACAGGTAATGTTATGTCATGTAGTTATAAATAGATAAACCAGTTAAGAGCAAGGCACCTTCAGGTCACCTGGTGCCTCACATCTCTGTGCTGAGCTAGACATGTTGTCTTTGCTGCAAGTCCCAGAGGATGTGCAAGTCTCTAGGGACCTCTTTCCTGCAATCCACAGAAAAAAATGATAATTACACTTAGCTCCTTTCTGTTCCTCCCCTCTTCCTGGCCGTCTTTAATTTATGTCTTTACTTTTAAACTTGGGAATGGAATTCCTTTAAAAGAAATAATTAAATGAAACAGTACTGGTGTATCTAGAAATATAAATGAAAAGCGTTGTAAGTAGTGCAAGTGTGTGTTTTCATTAATCCATCTGGCAGCGAGTAGTTTTGAGCTTTTTTAAAAGGAAAAAAAAAATCGCTTAGCAACCAGTATTGAGTGAGCGAGCCAAAAATCAAAGAGAAACGTGTCACTGGTACCCGCTTCCTTTCTGAGCTGTTGGATTTACTCTTCGGTTTGTTCAGAAAGCACACACCAAGTCAACCTAGGTTTGAGAACTCTCTATTCCGAGGCAACAGCTGCTAGGAAAATTTGTTTAGCCACTTTTGCTCGTGGTTGATAATGCTGCGCGGCACAGGGCATGCTTCGGAAACTTGTTCTTTATGAGGTGCAATGTTGGTGAATGTACTTTTTTGGGGGCATGTGTGTTAAAAAAAAAAAAAAACGGAACTGGAAAAAACCTAAACCAAACCCCCCTGTTTGTAAACGTACCGGGTTTTCATGTGCTGGTGACGTTACTGATGTGCCGTGGAGGGTGCGGGCGGCTCTCGGTGCCCCGGGTTGTGCCGGTTGCCCCGCGGGCGAGGGGCCGGGCCGTCCCGCTCGCCCCCGCGGCGGGAGCCCGCGGGCGCTGTCCATCGCCCGTGGTGCTGAAAGCAGCGGCGGGGGCTGGCGGCGGTCGCTGAGCGCTCGCTCGGGCGGGGGTGAAAGCGGCACGTCCCGCCTTTTCATGTCCGTGGGTTGGCAGGGCACGTGTGTGCACAAGGGTTGTGTGTGTGTTTCTTTGCCTGTGCAGCGGGAAGACGCCCGAAAGGAAGTAATGATGTTTCTTCAACCCATTGATGCAGTTAGAACTGAAGTGACGCTTGGGGCACAGAAGTACCCTCTTCCTTAGGCGCTTGTCTCTTGCTTTCCATTTAGTGCATTCCATATCTACAGCTGCTGCTCAGCCACTGCTTATAGAGATATTTTCCTAAGCACCTACAGGTCGAGCTGTGTTCCCCAGTCCCTGTCTTCTGACAGGACGTGGTCAGGGCTTGGATGCAGTGTGCAGCTGCTTTCCTGTGTTGGAACTTAAAATCCACTTTTATTAATGAAACGTAAGCAGATGCAGCGAATACTGCTCTTCTCTGCTCTTAATTACAACCAGTAGTTAAGAACTAGCAGGTTTTTATCTACTTCAGCTGTAAGTTATAATTATACCATTACTGCTGTTATCTGTATTGTTGAACAACTGAGAGATTGCATACACAGAGTCAATTATACAATTTGGCTATAGCACAGATTTGGTCTGGATTGTAAAAAAAACTACAATTTATAAGTGATTACCAGTGCAACTCCTACTTGCCCTTTCGATTATACTAAGAGTTCTGCTGTGTTTGATTTTCCAAAATACACTTGTTTATTATGTTTGTTTCTAAATGTTGATCAATTAATTCACAATTATTACCTAGAAGGAATTAACAAATGCTGTTCAATTAGTTGTCCCTGGTATGATTTTTTTGCTGGTGTTCCCAAACTGATTAAAATACAAAGCTGTTTTCCAAACTCAGAGTTATTCTCCCTACTGTTATACATATGCAAATCCTATTAATCTGAGTTATGTTCTCATATCAAGGGGATAATGTTTCCCAAAGGATTTAAATTACCACTCCTGCCAAAATTAATGTAGCTACATAACATCATAAAACTATAGACAGTTATGAATTCCTTTTGCATATTTGATACTGAGTCAGTCCACATACAGAAATTATTTTTTTAATTTTCTGAAAGATTTCCTCCAGTGCGACACTAGAGGAATATGGAATGTGCTCTCACTTTCGGGTGGTGATCTTTTGTTTTCTTTATTATGATTAGCAATCTGGCCTGGCTCCATCTCTTTACATCTGTCGTTGGCTTTTCATACACATCTTCTTAAAAGCAGTTTTCAAATTGGTTTTCTAACTTTCTGATTCAGGCATCTAAGATCTAATCCCAAATTACTTCTGAAAACTTGGGCCTTCATCTGTGACAGTTGTCCAATAGCATAATCCATTTCCTGGTCCTGTGCTAGCTGACAGGTTCAAGTGGTTTTTACAGGTTTTGAGCTCTTCCAGGTTTTGACCATTTGTATTTTTCCTGTTGCAAAATATTATACTTTTAAAATGGCAACGCATGGTAGGTAGCTTTCAAGCTTGATAAATTAGCAGAGCTGATGACTGATAAGGAAATAGACCACTTAAATCTCTCACTAAATGATCCAAGCTTTTCTTCTGCTTTCCCCTTCATGCAGCTGCCTGGGGAATCCCTGTCAGAATTTTATTGATGTTTGTTGGGGGAGGGGAGATTACCACATTAAGTTGATCTGATCAGGTTCTCTTTTAGCCCTTCGAGTGTCAGTCAGTAGTGGAGGTACCTCTGTATACAGACAGATACTTTTACTCCTTGCTAGCTGAAAAAGAGTAAGCTTTGTACTGCAATCCTTTGCGAAGTTGATTCTAGCAGACTGGCTTCTTGCTAAATGGTCCGAGAAGTCGTCTTTATCTCAGCTGCCATGGGACCTTCCTGAGCTCATACAGGGAGGTCACCAAATGTCAGTCTTTGTTTGAACAAGTCTGATTGTCTACTGAGGATTTAACCTGGGAGTGGAGACTCAGGGAGAAAACAAGCCAATGCCTTGGAGAAGGTGTAAGGCCAGAATGACTGCAGTGGCTGTAGTAGGGGTCAGCAAAGAGGGGGTGTTCCTTCAGAAAGAATATATTTAGCTTCTATGCTGAGAAATGAAGGGAAGGGAACTTTTCAGTATGAATGTATCCCACTCACCCTGACTTAAAAGCATGCACCAGTGGAGCAACTGAACAGAAGCCTGTGGCCAGAGGGTGCGGGAGCTGGGCTCTGAAGGTGGAGAGACAGAGGTAGCAACAGAGTGGACCCGACAGGAATGGTGCAGCTTGTGCTAGCTGTGGAGCCCAGCTGGCTTGCTCAGCCCTGAAGCACAGCACAGATTTTAAGTGCACTGAAGTCACTCAGTAATCTCACTGAAGTGGCTGGGTCCTCAAGTGATGTA